TAGTCCTCAGGGAGGGGCTTTCAGGTCAGATTCATCTCAGGTCCTCTGGGCCCTGTGTTCAAAGTACATGGTATCTTTAGCAATTGGGACTTACCTCCCACCTCTGGGAGCCAACCAAGGGCAACAACAACAGTGTAGGTTTTGGAAGAGTCTCCTGGACAACCTTGACTCAGAAAGGGCATCTCATGTTTGGTGTTGAGGCTTTTGTTAGATAGTGTGTGGCTCTTTTGGGGATTTTTTTATTTAATCTGTATACTATACACAAGTTTATATGCATTATATGTAATTTTGGGAAAATAGTGAACATCATGATTTCTTATGAGCTTTCCAGACATCCTTACTGTTGTTTTACCCCCTCTATTATTTATTTATCTCCATTCTTCCCCTAGTTAAAATTACATTCCATTTTCATATTTCCCCTTTAAATTATTTGGACCCTGCTATTCCCCTGTCTGCTCCTTCCGCCCCATCAATGGTGTCCCTGTTCTTTCCTGGTTAATGCAGTTACTCAAGGTTATATAATCACATTGGAAGACTTGGAGCTGATGGCTGTTATTAATGTGTTCATGTTTATGTCTTTGACTTTGTTCTGTTGGTTTACATGTCTGTTTTGTGCCAGTACCATGTCATTTTTATTACAATGACTCTGTGATATATCTGGAGATCTGGAATGGTAGCCCCTCCAGCATTGCTCATTTTGCTCAGGATTGTTTTGTAACCTGAGTTATTTTGTTATTCCATAAAAATTTTAGGATTGTTTTTTTCTATTTCGGTGAAGAATGAGACATGGATTTTGATTGAGATTGCATTGAATATGTAGATGGCTTTTGACAGAATGGTCATCTTTACAGTAATAATTTTACCAATCCATGAGTTTGGGATGTCTCTCTATGGTATGGTGTCTTTCTCTGTCCTTTTCTTCAGAGATTTAAAGTTTTCATTGCAGAGGCTGTTGACTTCCTTATTTAGGTTTATTTCTAGATATTTTATTTTCTTGGAGGCTGTTTTGAACAGGAATGTGTCCATGACCTCTTTCTCTGTATATTTATTGTTCATGTAAAGAAAAGCTATTGTTTTTTTGCAAGTTGATTCTGTATTCTGCCATACAACATAAAATAATAATTTGCAAGACCCTCAGTATTGGTCATTTTGATCTTATAGTTTTGAAAGGTGGATTTGTTTGTTGCACTGAAATCCACATCAAAGTCAGTTGTATTACTCTTTTCCATGATAAATAGTATTTTCTATAGTAGTTTTCTAAATGTGTGCCCATGTGTATCCTAGGAAAGGGGTTCAGGTAAATAGTTTAATTGCTTTTCTTATTTCTTTTTTATGCCTAGTTTTGTTTTGTTTTTTTTTTTTTGAGACATGGTTTCTCTGTGTAGCTTTGGAGCCTGTCCTGGCACTCACTCTGTAGACAAGGCTGGCCCTGAACTCACAGAGATCTGCCTGCCTCTACCTCCTAAGTGCTGGGATTAAAAGCATGACCACCACTGCCCAGCCCTTTTATGCCTAGTTTTATGATACTCCTTTTTTTTCCATAGCAACATAGATTCCAGCCTCTTCCAAGATACTTTTATTGCTTTCCTTTAAGGATGGAGAGTTCCAGAATTTTCTCTGAAGACTGGAGTCAGGTCTGTGCTGTGCATGGTGGCGGTGATGGGGATGTGTTTTCTTCAGATGATGTTGGCTGAGGTGCTGTGAGAGACCCCTCATTTTCTCTCTGGTTTGGGTGACAGAGTATATAGAAGGTAGACTTCTGATTTCCTTCCTTGTTTTTTTCAAGATGGAATTTGGACCATCAGTGGAAGGGACCAAGTGGGAGTGCCTATCCAGAATCTAAGACCCCCTTCTTGAAATGAAAGCCTTGAACACAGCCTTCAACTTGTCCTTACAGAGGAGAAAGGCAGAGCAAGTCTACAGAGCTCTGAGTGCCTGTAAACCTTTCGATTCATGCATTTACGTTTGTTTTCATTGTGGTTTGAAAAGTCTGGTAGAATTTAGTTCTCAAAGGAGAGCCTAGACTTTAGAAATCTAGGCTTAGAGAATGTGTGTGTGTGTGTGTGTGTGTGTGTGTGTGTGTGTGTGTATGTATGTATGTATGTATGTATGTATGTATATATGAGATCATTCTCATAAGGCAGTAAAATTTAGGTCTCTGTTCCTAACTCAACCCCATGGTGGGTTAGACTCTGACCCTGGGCTTTGTCTGGGCTTTCTAACAGGGTGACTGTGACAGACTGCATTGGTCCCTCAAGCTCACCTTTTCCCTCTGTCCATAGGCATAAGAACAGTAACCCTAGGAATATGTTGTGATGGAAGGACTCTGAGTTCCCATGCCATACTCTTATTCGGCTGGCCATACATTCTGCCACTGTACATTATATTTTTCATGTCCACTTGCAGAAATGCAATCTTTCCTGGATACTCTTTCCTCCAGAGTTGGTTGAAAGATGAGAACCAAACTTGTAAGCCACTCTCTAGGACTGGATGATGAAGGGGTTAGAGTCTCCCACTTTTACAACTAATTTAGGTTCAGTCCTCTGAGAGGGACAAACAGTTGTCTCTCCCAACAAAGGGCCAATTTTCAACAAATTACATTCAGGGCCAAGGGTGAAAACTGGAACAAGGCCTGAGTTAGTCTCCTGCAGTATCTCAAGGCAATGACCAAATAGGGAAAAATCCTCTAACGTATACCCTTGGAACTTGACCATACAGGCCCAAAGATGAAAGAATTGTAGCTCTAGCTAGCCCCTGCCAGCCCCAGCCAATCAGAAATTATTATGTAACTGCCACTTGCTAAGCCAATCATAGACAGAATGACCTAACTATTCCTGAAACTCCCCTTGGCTGTGCTTAAAGGGAGTCTACATGCTCCTCTCAGGGTTGTTGCCATTTTGTACAGGTGAAAGACCCTACATATACTGGTATAGTAAATAAACCCTCTTGCTGCTTGCATATGTGTCTGGTGGTCTTTGTGGGCCAGCTTGAGGACCCTAACACATGATGTGTGAGACAGCTTCATCTTGCCTCTGTTTCCTGTCATGTTGTTTCTTCATGTTCTCTTTCTAATTTATATTCTGGCGGTATTGCAGGCAGATCAACATAAACCCAGTTAGAGCAGGTTCTTAGGTAAGAATTAACCAAACGAAAGACACTGCTGCCCCAGTTCACTTTCATATCTGTTGCATTTGAGAGTGATGATGAAGCTGATCCCAGACAGGTCGCAGGGTCTCAAGTGAATAGCACTCTGTTCATTGACCCTTCTTCTAGGGTGTTGGCCATGAAGGTTGTCAGCTATTGTGTAAAAGACCCTGAAAATTCGTAACTGGTGTTGTTTTTGAATTAGGAGTTCCTAAAGGAGAAACACAAGCATTGAATTAATCTTTATTTTCATTGAAATTAGCCATTGCTTTGTAATACACTTTATTTCAGTATTTTACATAGGCTCTTTCTAGGGGCTATTACAACAGTGATGAAGTTGCTTAAGTGCAGTTTGTCATGAAGATGTGTTTTTCTCCATACTTTGGTGTGTCCTTGTTTGTGTCCTGAATCATACTCAGAATTGTGTGCACTAATGGGACCTGATAGGACTGATGCTAATATTTGTAGCACAGTTTCAGTCCAGGAGTAGGCAGGGCAGTACATGTGACGTGCTGAATGGTCGTTGGTTTTTAAAACTATGATTTAATAATAGGTTGTATTTATTTTCTAATTTTATTTTTTGAGACAGGGTTTCTCTGTGTAGCCCTGGCTGTCATGGAACTAGCTCTATCAACCAGGCTGGCCTCAAACTCACAGAAATCTTCCTGCCTCTGCTTCCCACATGTTGGGATTAAAGATGTGTGCTGCCACTGCCTGGCATTATTTTATTTTATTTGAGAGAGAGAGAGAGAGAGAGAGAGAGAGAGAGAGAGAGAGAGGACACATGTTACATGGTGTAGGGGCTGAGGAGGCCAAAAGTATGTTGAATCCCCTGGAGCAGGAGTTACTGAAGGTTGTGGGCCACCCCATGAGGGAGCTGGAAACCAAACTGGGGTCCTCTGCAGAGCAGCAAGTGTTCCTAACCACTGAGCTACCTCTCCAGCCTCCATTGGTTATATTAATATTAATTCTTCTTGGAAAATTTTATCAGCTTATACCTTTCCTCTGATTGAAAATCTGCTAATGCCAGTGGGTGACCTAAAGATGGGGCTTAGTTCACTGATAGCTCTTTGGCAGAGTACTGATTAGTCCCATGACCACATTCTTGTTTCTTGATCAGTGCCCAGCTTAAAAGTCACAGTAAGGGGACCAGAGAGATGACTCATTGATTAAGAGGCAGTACTACTCTTGCAGAGGACCCAAACTTGGTTGCCAGCACCCACATGAGGGAGCTAGTAACTGACTGCAACTCTAGCTCTAGGGAATGTGACACCCCATTCTTGCCCCATGAGCACCTGCACATAATTCAGAATTTTTTTTTGAAAGAGTCTCAGAAGTATTTTCCTTATTTATTCCTGGACTTAAAAAGACAAAACAATTTAAAATATACATAGTGTAGGGAGACACCGTAAGCACGCCTCCTAAGGGCGGGCTACAGGTGTGCTTGGCCACGCCTGTCAGGGTGTGGTCAAGGGGAGGTCAGGATAGGTTCTTAAAGGGCTACAGACACATGGGGACCCCTTCTCTCTGGCCTCCCTGCCTTGCTGCCTCTGGACATGCTCTGGCTTGCGCTTGGCTGGTATTTATCTGAATAAAGGTGTTTTGAATCTATAAACCTTCTCCATCTTCTTCATACATAGTATTACCAAGGTCCCACCTGAGAAGCAAGCATAGGAGTTTTAGTGAAATCTGGACAGAATTTACCTCAGTTGTAATTTTTTTTTTCATTTTGACTTTGCAGATTCAGTCTTTAGAGCTCAGGGCAGCTTCTTGGGTCAACAACAACAGCACCCTCAAGATGCCTCTTGTGTATAAAGCTGTGTCATCATTCAGCACTATCATTTTTTTCTTTCCAGTTCTGTCAGGAGGACCATTGCCTCAGGGACATGAGTTTGAACTGTATGAAGTTAGATTTCACTGGGGGAGAGAAAACCAGCGTGGTTCTGAACACACGGTGAATTTCAAAGCTTTTCCCATGGAGGTAAGAATAATAATCTTGTAAACATCTCATTACTTACTAAAGAATTCAATAATTTACTGAAAATGCTTGTTTTGAAAGTAGCTGTGTAACTCTTGAATTTTATGTTTGTGCTAAGAGAAGAGTGCCTCGTGAATATC